TTAAAAAATAAATATAAATAAATTTCATATATATTAGCTAAACGTTAATTTTGTCCTTCAACTTCACTTTCAAGTCCGTAACTTTTCATTTTCTCATTTTCACTCTATGCAGGATATGTATACTTGTTTTTCGTAACAGGTATGCAAACTGTTGTCGCACACTGTGCGAGTAATTCTGTCATTAGCGACGCCTGTCGAATCCCCGAAAGCCACAAAATATATAAAAAAGAAAATTAAAGTGATTTCCACACATTTCCACACGAAAAGCGACCACAACAATGAGCTCTAGCTAAAAATACTTATCTTTTGCTTCTTTCGCTCTTCTCTTTCCTTTTCTTGTTGAACAAAAATTTCAAATTTAATTTAAAAAATATTTCGAGCAGCACAAAAAAAATAAATAAATAAATAGAAACCGCCACAGACAACCGCAAGTGGAAAAAAGTATAAAAAATAATTTGTAATTCATTGCAGGCCTTAATGTGCCACAGAATAAAATATTTGATTTCATATTTTGTAGATATTATGGCCGACATTTGTTGGGGACTTAAGTTCAATAGAATTGGCAATAAAACATCTGAGCGGAAGGGCTAAAATGCCACAAAGGAAACTATTTCGATGGCCATAAAAACAGATCCGAAACAGCCGTGCCACCAAATGGGGCAAATACGTTCGCGCCTCGGCCCCAGCCATCAAATGTAAATTCAGATTTCAATTTGAGAATCCGAACCCGAAGCCGAATCGGCATCGGAATCGGAATCGGAATCGGAATAGAGAATCTGCATCATATTTATGCTTTTACCAAACAGTTTGTACCATATTTATTTATATTTATGTGGCTCAATCAAGGGGCGCAGCCAAAACAATGCAAAGCAAGACGTCGAAAATATTTCATAAAGGGGCGCTGGGCAGGGTGGGGCTGGGATGGGGTGAGGGGCATGTCAGCGTATGGATTACGGCCATGGTCCATGATAAATACGCACAAAATATTATTTATATGCTTATAAAGCAGGCAGATGTTAAGCAAGCGATTAGGGAGATCAGTAAAAAAACACACAAGAAACAACTATAATAAAAAAAACCAAAATTGAAAAACCTAAAAAAAATGGAAAAAACTTTAAATTAGTTTCAAATATTTTAATAACATTCTAAACATTTGTGAATGGATTTATGTGCTGCGCTGATGCGAACTGTCACACTTTGTGGGCGTAACGCGATGTTCCAAATACACAGAGACGCACATATATATATATGAATCTACATATGTATATATGTATGCATATCTGCCACCCCTCAACAGGTGTGTGCCTCCGCTTTGTGGGAGATTTATTTTCATTTTTGTGCACAGAGCAAACTCGTGTGATAAAGATTTATTTGTTTAGACTTTGCGTGCTAGGCGAAGGGGGGATGGAGGCTACGCAGTGGCTTTCAATGCGTCTTTCTTCTTCTTCTTCATCTCTAGTTCTTCTTCTTTTTTTAACTACTAAACAAAAGCCCTAATTGTAACCGGGAACCTTATCGTCGAGCGCGCCAAGTGCTCGATATTCTACATGCTTTTTTTATCAGCGTAATGAAAGAGCTCTTTTTCTTCTAGCGATACTCCCTAAAGAGTATATTAGCTTTTGGTATACGGTAAAGAATTTAGGTGTTGAATATATATTAGATATTCGTGCATAACTCTCGTTTGATTGACTGAAAAGATTAATTGGCTACACTCTTAGGCGCCATGACAAATGAAGCTTCAGTCTATCTTTTATAATCTAAACAGTTTTATTTATGGCACGTGAAATTTAGAGACGTGAAATTTGATTTATAAACTCGCATATATCACTCGCTGAAAGATAAAAGTGTCAATCTTATCTATGCAAATTGGGGATCGTATAAGATTGGGGATGCACAGTGAAATATTCGGGATACTTTGAGCAAACATATTAAATATCTTCTATATTTCATATTTAGCCAAATATTTGAGCATTGAACAAGTATTATGCAGTCTTTCATGCCCGACTACAAACTCATTTACTGGGCTATCGTGGCAGTTGCTTTTAAGAAGGGCAACATCGGTGACGAAAACAAACAGAACTCAAGTCGAAGTTGGGGCAACATGAAATTAATTGAATGCAACAACAACAATAACAATAACAACAAATACAACGACAACAACGTGTAATAAAAACGTTGCCCATTTATTTCAATTAAACACAATCAAGAACACATATTTTCCCCCTGAGACGCTATACCCAAAAGAACAGAGCAGAAACAAAAACAATAAACTTCCAAGTAGCAAAAAATATAAACGAGCTGCTTCAGCAAAAAAAACTGACCATTGGCACTTGCAATGAGTGAATCCAATTGAAGAGCTCGTCAGGGAATGCACTGAGACTAGAGCATGAATAAGTACGATGATACAAGACATTGAAACAAGTGAAGCATGACTAATGGCCAATTCCTAAAACAGAGGAAGTTAGCAAAACAATTCGTCAGGATTTCAAACAAAACACAGAACCATAAGACTTTGAGTAGAACCCTATTTATAAATAATATAACTAATCAAAGAAAAGAACAAACTAACTCTTAACGAGAAAACTTTAGAGCAGAACCCTCTGAATTCCAGAAGTGCTTATCTTATATATATCCCATTTTTCCAATACAAACTTAGACGAAGCACTTATTCAAAGCCCTCATATAAAAGAACTTAACGACCATCTAAAGAAGATTATATGGACATATACATACATTTATATAAGCATACAGATTATGAATGTATATATGTATGTCTCATAGACTCGTAAAGTTTTTATAGTCCAGCAGAGATTTCTTTAGCTTGTAGTACAGTGCAAAAAAATGTCATAAACATTCAGTTTATGTTGAATGACAATCATAACAGATCATAAAAATATATTTATAGTATTTTATTTTTGAAATATATATTATAGACATTATTATATGTAATCATACATTAATATTAACAATTTATGAACTGAACAGACTTAAAGTTGAGATAGAGTTTAGCTTTAGATCATACCCATGTATATAAGAACTTAGCATAGGTCAGAGTTATAATCAAACGAAATTCTGCTTAGAAAAACATCCAGCAAAAGCAAAGCATCGTCTGTAGTGAAACTCTTATAGAAACTGTAGATTAAGGTAGATAGCAAGAATTACATAGAGATAAGAGATTAGAGTAAACATTTCTAGAAAACTACCTAGGACCATTTGGAAAGTTAAAAATAATTCTAAATCATCATTATCGTGACATAGTTCAAGTACCATCAAGTACCACAGTTACTCATAGGCAATTCATAAGATTAGGCGCTATTGGACGTGAAATGGGATTTATAGCAGGTGATATATACAAGGAATTGCTTTCATTATTGAACGGTTCATTTGAAAGGGCTTTTTACGGTTTTGAAATTTACGCGAACTTGATAATACCTCAATGGAGCCGTACAATTGGGGTATACTAAACCGATTAGATTGGAACTTATAAAAAATAATGATGTAGGTGGGAGGTGCTGACTAGAATATACCCGAGGCGAACTGCTGAAACACAAAGTAATCTCTTTATTTATGATATATAAGGGTAGAATCTTGAGATGAATCTAAAATAATCTATATTCTAAAGAGATATGCTAAATTAATCAAAATTAAATAGATTTAATATCGCTAAATATAGCAGAAGCCAAACTCAATAGAGAGTTGTACATACAGATGTATGTAGATAAAATCTGCTGTCGATCCTGACCTAGAATATATAGTACATATAGTTGGGTTCAGCAACGCCTAAGAGAACCTGTCACATACATTTCTCCACAAACTACTTACCCTATATTGCTTCATTGTTCAATTTATACTAATCTAATCAGGCTGTTCTTATCCTTCATCTTACATATAGTAAGTAAAAATGAGTTTTTTATTAAAAATATAATTGAAAACATTTTTTCAATTTCCACCACGCACGATAAGTACTCAACTCTACTTTTCATGGCGACACAGTTCGGCTCTCTTCTTCTTTCACTTCCACTTCATTCAATTGAATTCAATTTAACTGCTGTTATATGTGCGTACGCGACGAACATAAGGCTGAACAGACTAAAGAAAAACTTGGAAATATTCGATTCCCCAAGGGGAAAACGAAAATATGTTTAATCTCTGGCTAAGCGATAACCCCTAACATTAACCCTGAATAGAGCGCACATACCTCTTAGGTAATCCAATAGATTTATGTTGAATATTTCCATTTAACGTGCGTTATCCTGAGCAGCCATGATTTATATATTCTTTTAGCTAGATCATTTCCTTTATTTATTGTGATCGTATATCGTAGATGTGAATGGCTGGCGCGAGACACTACACAAAATTTATTTTCGTTTCACCGAAATTTCCGTAGTATTTCAATTAACACGAAATTCTGTTCTCTATTTAATTTTATTTAAGTTTAACGGAACGCGACGAGCACCGGAACCGAACCGTTCTATACGACAGACGACTTGGAATTGAAGCGAACGTTGAGTCGATCGTACATCTCTCGCTCGGTTGCTCGCTTGCCGCCCTTTCGGCTTTCGGAATAGCCGAAAAAAAGTAACTGATAAACGACAATGCAGGCCGAGGCAGCGCTGTCATTCTATTTTGTTTTCTAGATTGCATTCGACATAGCCAACAAAGCTAATGATGGCCATTTAGCTACTTTTTTTATACAACTTGCTTTGATTTAGCATTCACTTGTTGCCGGGCATGTCATTCAGCATTTCTAGCCAATAAATGTAGCTTATTTCCGTTGCCTGTTGATCTAGCTTTTTTCTTGTGCTGCGATGCTCAGCACTGAATGCAATTCGCTAGGGCCGTTAAGTGGTGGGCAGCGCCAAATGAAATCGGAAAAAAGAGAGCCGCTGTTCGCTCTTCGCTCAATTTCGCGCTCTCTCTCTCTCTCTCTCTCTCTATCTGTGGCTCCTCTTTCTTTCGCTCTCTCCTACTGTCGTGCCCTCGTGCCAGTCGGTGATAATGGAAACTGATATGCACAAAACATATGTAGATGCTCACTTAAATACGTTTTCAGCCCACTGTGATTGGCTCTCCGATTTCAGCAGCTTTATTTTGTTTTGCAGTATGCCTCCTCCGTGTGTGTACAGCTCAATTTCAGCTTCAATTAGCGCTTGATAGCTAACAAATCGATCGGATAAATTGATGACGATGTCAACCAACAGCATTTTTGTTCAACTTAATCAAAATCTCACGTTCCGTCGCTTCCGACTCTGAGAAGATTACTTACAAAACTCTGTCTACGATAAGGACTGGAACGAGTCAGCTTATGCAACCATTCCATTCCTTATCAGCAATGCGCTAGTTCATTAAGACCTTAAATGACGAAAAAAGTTAACACTAAGTAAATGAACTATATCAACAGAATTCTTACCCCAACTGACAGTTGTCACACAACATTCATTATTGAAAGACTTCGCTCTGATGAATTAAGCGGAACAGCTCTACATAGAAAGTTGATTGAACGGAGGTATTAAGGTGTCCATGAGACATGAACAGCTAAAGAACTTTAGCTTGTTAAAAGTTTTTAATATTTTAAGATCATTTTCTGCACGTTAAAATTCATATATTTAAAATATATAAATTTATTCTTTATTTATTATACCTACCCATCTTCAATTCAAATCTTGTTCTTTCCTGCGAGCGTTCACTGTATTGAAAGACTTTTTGGTTTCAAGCTGACAGACGAAAGTCTGTCCCTTAATACCCTAACCAAACAGTCATTAATGCACAGCTCATCGTATACCCTGATTTGATTTATGTCGGGCATTTCCATATCCATCTCCAGCAGCGCTACCTGTGCACAGGTAACAATTGATTATAGCTGTAGGTAAATTGAAAGTGGAAACACATCAAAATATCCGTTTTGCACTCTCGAGTTGCGTTTCTTTAGTTTTTCTTTTATTTATATATTAATTTTTTTGTTTACAACATGAAAAAAGAAATGGTAGAAAAATATGACATTGCGTTGTTTTTTTTTAAGAGTTCATTTCATTTTCTTTTCTTTGCTTTGTTTTTAATATATATCAAAACCCATATTCCATTAGTCTTTGCTTCAAATTTGTTTAATTTTTTTGTGTTTTTGAAAAATATATCTTTTCTTTTTTGTTTTTATTTTTGTAATATAATTAGTTGAATGTAAAGTATTTTATAAAAATGTTTTAATGTTTTTTGTTTCTCTCTCTCTTTGGAGTTGAAAATGAATTGAGCAAACGAAAGTCACAAATTAAGAAATAAGTATTAAAAGAAGAAGAGTGTGAGTTAATCGTAAAACAAAAATGTTATAATAAATAAAACCCGCCCATAAATGTTTTAACACACAGCCAACCGCCCCCCGCCCCTAAGAGGGCCTGTCTCTCTCTTTTGATTATATAAAATTGCTTTAAGTGTGTATGTATGTGTGTGTGTGTCTGGGCTGCTGCTGCTGTGTGTGTGTGTGTTGGTGTGTTTTATAGTTGAGCAATTACGCGTTCCTTGCCTTCTCAACACCTGTTCGTTATTTAGATTTGCATCTATATATTTTTCACAATTTTTTTGTTTTTTGTTTATTGCATTTGTTTTTCGTTTTGTTTTTATTTTATTTTATTTTTTTTTGTATGCAATTTTTTTTTCTTCAAGTTTTTCGTTTTTTTTTGTTCGTTTTTTTTTTTTTAAATATTTTTATATATATTCGTTTTTTTTTTTTTTCTTTTCTTTTGATTATTGATAAGAAAATTGTATAGTGAGCTTTCATTTTGGTTTTCCATGAAAAATCAATGAAGCTGCCGGCTATATGCGTATAGCACTCAAAAAACAAAAAATGAGCTTGAATAAGTTTAACTTGTTCCAACTAAATTATGGTAATACAACGGATGTTTTTTCATTTTAGCCAAAAACTAATCACAATCTTTTGCATTCATATTGCAAATATGCTTGAGTTTGTGTGTGTGTGTGTGTGTAAAGAGTGTAGTTGTGTATGTGTGAGAGTGCTTTTAGCAACTCTTCAATATATCGTATGCCTCTCAATAGACTTCACTGACGGCTTCGTCCTCTGCAGGATTTCGTTCATGTTGTTGTTGTTGTTATGGCTTCTGTTGCAGACGCAGCTGCTCGCTTATGTTTGTGTTCTGGTAGAAGAGACGGACGACGTGCGTCTCACGCTCATCCTTCTTGGCCAGTATCTCCAGCTGGAATATTTCGGAGAAACGCGTATCGATGAATGCCCCCAAGGCGGCCACATCACACTTGGCCATGGTGGCACTCTCCAGCTCGCAGTGCTTGCTGTAGCGCGGCGCCTGGGCCAGCTCGGCGGGCAGCTGGCGGAACTGGTCGGTGACGGCATTGTTGCCAAAGTCAATGAAGTGCACCTCGCACTTGCCATCGTCCAGCAGCTTGACTATCTCGGCGCGATAGAAGACCTCGTCCTCGGGGAATTTGGCCACACACAATGCGCCCACCTGCAGGTCCGTAAAGACTTCAAAGTTCTGCTCGGCATCGAGCATTTTATCGGTCATCTGCTCGAGCGCCGGCACATCCTGTTCCATTTGCACATAGAACGATTTGGCATTGTCGTACTGCACCACAATGCAATTGTGCAGCTCCACTTCCAGGGGCTGCTGCACACCAGCCACTGTGCTGGCCAGCTCCTGGGCAAAGTCCTTGTAGTTGATGCGCAGCTGCACCGATTGCTGCGTCTTTGCGTCATCCTCCACGGGCTCGTTGACCAGCTCGTAGACCTCGCCGAAATGCTGCTCGAGCAGCGCTGCGAATGCTTCCTCCAGCTTCGCCTCCGGCACATCCTCGGGCAGCTCACTCAGCCGGCAGTGCAGCGCCAGCGGCGGAATTTCACTAATCACCTGGGGCAAGGCAAACACCTGCGTGGTAGTCAGACTGCTGCCGTAGTCCACGAGGAACACCTCGTACCCCTTGTCCGCCTCCAGCACCTGCTTGATGCAACAGCGGTAATAACAGTCGTCCTCCTGCGAGAAGCACACGCCATTCATCTGCACAACGGGATTGTCTAAGGGCGTCAGTTGCCCTTTGGACAGGCCCTGCAGTGTCTTCACAATCAAATCCAACACGGCGGAATTCTTCTTGAGCTGCACATAGAAACTCTTGGGGGAGCTGCCATGCGAGATGATGCACTCCTTGTTGTTGGCCTGGGCCTGTGGCTTCTGCAGCTCGGCCTCCAGCAGCTTCTGCAGCTGCTCGTAAATGTTGAGTGCGTGCTTGTCCATGGTCTTTAGGCGCACCACTGGCGGCTGCGCCGTCTTATTGACAAACTCCACGGCCACCTCGCCGTTGCAGCTGTCGATGAGCGCGTCCAGCGCCTCACGCGATTCCTTGGGATATTTGATAAAGTTTGGGCACGACTCCAGCGAGTGCAGTTCTGCCAGAGGTTTCACCTGGACCAGCTCCGCTGGCAGCTCGAAGAGCTTCTCGACCAACGCCTGGTTGCCATAGTCGATGAAGAGCACACGATACTGCAGCGACTGCTTGGCCGGCAGCTGTTCCAGGATGCGTGCGCGATAGAACTCCTTGTCGTCGGCAAACTGCGCCACGCACAGCTCACCCAGCTGGGCGATCTCTTGCTTGGGCTGCAGATTGGCGCTCTCCCCATTCAGCTGCTCGCAGATGTTGTCCACCTGTGCGATGTTCGACTCGAACTGCAGATAGAAGCTAGTGGGGCTGTTCACATGCGTCACTAGAGCCGTCATGCTTTCTACTCCAGCATCCGACTCCGTGTTCGCCTCCACCTGTGGCTCTTCCTGTTGCTTAGGCTGCTTGCGTGTGCAGAGTGGCAGCAATTGGTCCAGTACATTATCCTCATCGAGCAGCAGGTTTACAACAATATGCTCCAGTCCCGGCTGCAGCAGCTGTGTGGTGAAGACCAGCTCACCCTCGCCCGTCAGCTCGGCGAATTTGGCTTCCGCCTCCTGAGACCAGCCCACGTAATCCTCTGGCAGCTGCAAAGCGCAGCGTTTCGATAGGCTCGGCACATTCGCTATTTCATCCGATAGCAACAGGCACTTGGCCGTGGACGAGGTGTTACCGTAGTCAATGAAACGCACCTCGTAGCGGGCATCGGGCAGCTGACGCAGCAGCTCGGCCCGATAGAAGAGTCCATCGTCATCGAAGAGAGCTGCCACGATGCTGCCCTTTTCGAAACGCTGCAACGGCTCCAGCTGCTGCTCTGCATTGCCCAAATAGAGTTCGATTAGCTCCAGGGCCTTGGAGTCGCTCTCCAGCTGAATGTAGAAGTCGGCGATGCTGTTGGCGTGTGAGATGTAGCAGCTGCTGCCGCTGGTGACATAGTCCAGGGGCTTGGCAAAGCCATCGGCGATCAGTTTCTTGGCCACGTCGACGCCATCGATGTACAGGTTGACGTAGCTGCGCGTCTGGTAGTCGCCGCGTGTCAAGTACTCGTAGTGCAGAATCTTCTCGTATGAATCGTTAAATATACCAT